TTGAAGCAATATCTTTTGACTTTGTTATGCCTTGAGAATAGTGAGTACTTTGGTTGTGACGCTTCGGCTCAGTTTTTGACTCTTGTATAAGTACCTTAAATTGTATGATTTTAAATTTGCTTAACTGCTTTGACTAGAGTGTCTTGATGAATCCAATCCTGAGTGAGTTATGTCCCATGTGTGTGTGAGGTTTGGTGTTATTCTGTACATTGCATTTGATGCCTAGAACTTGCCCCGTGTGTTTTGCAAAGCGAAATAGTAGTCTTATTCAGTCTAGGAAGTGATATAGGCATTTCTTTGTTGAGCCAGATATGTATATTTTACCCACCTAATGGTTATGTATCGTAGTTAACCCATTTGAGCCTCTAATCCTATTTCTTTGGCAATCACACTACAAGTCTTACCCAATTGTTCAAATGGACTATCTATTTGAACCTTTTAACCTCTCATAAGCACTTGAATTGTGATGATTTATGTAAAAGTTAAAGTGTGGGTTGGTTGGTTTGGCTTTTGAGTGGAACTAATGAAATCAGGAGAAAGGTGCACTGTTTTGAACAAGTAAGAGCCACTTGAATTGAAAACAAAAATATAGTTGTATTGCTGTGAAAAAAAAAAGTATTTCTTTAATAAGTGGTGACTCTTGCTGTAATTGTGTTAAAGAAGTATGAGATAATATACATTGATGTGAAGGTGGAGTTTGGTTTGACAAAAGTATGGGGTTTGAATGTTAAAGTATATGTATTAAAGTGCTTAGGGAGGTGTAGTCACTCTTATATCTAAATATATCCTACCCGTCCCGTAGCCTACATTACAACCAAATAAAGTCCTAATTGATCCTAGATTGAATGAGCTCGATTAGTGGAGTAGTACACTATGGGCAAGCTTATGGTGCATCTTTTGTGGCATATGAATGTTATTTCTGTGAGTGAGTGAATTCTTTCTATCTTGAGTTCCTAAGTGTTGTTAAATTTTATTGTGTGGAACTACACTCTTTTGTTGTGTGAGGGCACTTGATTCATGAAGGAAAGGTAATGTCAGTGACCTCTATATTAGAGTAAGTGGGTGAGTTGTGAATAACGTGTGGTACTTGTGAGTCAAATCTTGAGGTGAAGATGTTACGCTTTTGTGCTTAGTCTATTTTAAATACTCTTGGTGTGATGAGTTAGGAGAATTGTTTAAAAAGGTCGTGTCTATAAAAAAGTGTAGTTTGATTGCTCGAAGACGAGCAATGGTTTAAGTGGGGTGTTGATGATAGGCTATAATTACGTATTTTAGTCGCTTATTACACTCTAATTTACTGCACTTTAATTGAGTTTGCGCTTTAATCGCTAGTGTTTTGCACTAACGGTGTGTTTTATGCCTTGTAGGAGTGATTCCGAGATATATAGATGTTATGGAATGAATTCAAGT